CCCTGACACGCTCAAAACTTTGGGCGAACAAGGCATGTTGTAGCTAACAGTAAATCTGCAATGATTACGGAGAAGACTCCTAGAATGGAGCGTTGTAGTGCACCCAGTTTAGGTCAGACCAGTGGTTACTGTCAACGTTCGAAGCTTCGCTCGTCGATTTAAACATGAGTAACTAAAACGTGATCATCTGCGTCAAATCTGATTTAACCATTCATTTTATACATAGATGGACAGCTTTCCATGAAGGAAGTAGGATACTGTTGTCAAATTTGTAATTTCTCATTAAAATTCCACTGTGAAAGATCATTAAGGCAACGTGTATTCCTGCAGTCAAGAATTTAAATCTACATAATTCGCAGATGGTAATCTGTATCAATTACATGCCTTCGCCCCTATGTTGCTTATTACTAGATAGCTGCTTGCGAGCACAACGCGATATTGTTATAAAGCATATGGATTATGATCAACGGGAATTTTAATTTTTATGATTCAATCGTGGTAGCCATGCCAGGCCACTAAAAATCAGGTTGCAGTCATTTAGTCCGACGTACATATATAAATAATTGGAAGATGGTCATCTATTCTGATGAAATTATCCGATTAAACGACTGAACGACAGATTCTCCTGCATTTATCCTCGGGGAGCATAAGGAAATATGGTGTAGCCTATTTTCTGCACAGAGACCGACTCTCGATCGGATTCAAAGCCACGTCATTTTCAGACTTTATTTTCACATAAATTAATGTTTACAGCACTGCTAGCATAAAGAAGGCAGATGTAAAGGAGAGACTACAAACTGCTGCGGCTTTGGTATGTAAACAGGATGCCAAATAAAAGACTCATCAGACGGAGCTTGCTCGCAAAGACAAGGGGATAGATCGAGAGCTAGATTACTTAAATGTACTGAACAGCAGCAATGTCGCGCTTTGAAGCCTACCCTTGCAGTACGACCGATCGGCAAAAACGCAAACCATCTGAAGAATCTGCTGAAGCTTCTGCTCTTACGACCACGCGAAGGAAATAACCGATTAGGATGATGAACTGTGACA